GTGTGTGTGTGTGTGTGTGTGTGTGTGTGTGTGTGTGTGTGTGTGTGTGTGTGTGATTTCTAATGCAACAATTACCTGTGAACCAAACATTAAATTATGTGAGAAAAATAAAATACTTACACATTTCCCACAAGTCCACCAACTACTGAGCTCTCAAGCTGTCACGTGACTTTGGGACAGGCCTCCTGTTTTATCTTTTTATTCAAGATCTGTTCACATGTACTTAGCAAGTACATACACATGAAATGCAAACTATTTACATGGCAACGCACAGCAGGACGTCCCGTACAACGAGCAGGTTCGTCCTTTATTCCACCTTAAATGTCCCTGACCTGCAGTGCCACGTCCTGACCAACAGATGGCACTCTTACAAATAGCTTTCGTCCAGTCACAGCGACGCCTGTCACGCACAGCAGATGTGAGGTGTTACGTGACTCGTAGAAATAAGGCGCTGTTTGGTCTGCGCAGCGTAATAACCAGGCGAACTTTAGCTCCTGATCTATTTGACCAGTTTTTGTTTCAAAGGAAACACTCGCGTGATTTCTGTACTGCATTTTTCTTTATTGCTTAAAACGAGGTATTAATAAGCTGAACACTAACCTTTTACAACAGTTTTATTATAACGTGAAGACGGTGCATATTTACACTCCACCCAGCTGGCTGTGCATAGTGCTCGGGCACGTCAGACTGTGTGTGCTTGATAGCTAAAAAGTTGCAACCTACTCTGGGACGAACATTTTTACTTTGAGGGCATGAAGACAGTTCATGTGTCTGTGTGCAGGTGGACGGCCGTGTCCATGCTGTCCGCGACCATTGCTTTTGGGGTTTTCTGCAGATCAAAAGGAGGAAAAATGCGCCCACTCTGAGCCCGACCCCGGCGACTCCATTATCAGCAGCCTCTGAAAACAAGGCCGTGAGCCGACAGTCAGCTATGAAAGCATCACGCAGCATTCATCCACTGCTCATAAACCCTCAGACGTCTCTGGTTTCTCTGCTTTGATGTTTCTGCGATGAAGCTGACGAGACCTGCAGGACCTCCGAGAGCAGCCTGGCAGCATCAGGCGCTTCCATAAACACACTGACGCACAGAAACACATCCATCATCCGTTTCCAGGGATTTTGCCGCGATGATGAAAACCAGACTGACTCCAGATCTGCTCCGAGGTCCACAAACTGCTGCTGGCTTTGTTTCTCAGCATCACGTCAGGCTGTAATCGCTCATACAGAGGCCCCAGCTAAACACCTGCACCACCAGAGCTTTTCACAGGAACCCGGACGACTGACTCCAGTGAATCCAAGATTTCAGTGTAAAACAAACACGCCCACCCACAGGAAACTCCCACCTGATGAGCTGCAGGGTCTCCGACTGACTGTTTCCTGTTTCATCCTCTGGTTTCCTGATATGATCTGCTGCTTTATCAACATCGATCATTAAAACTGAGTTTAACATGAGGCTCATCTGTGGCAGGACGATCTGTCGGTCCCGTCTGTGTCAGGCTGAGATTTCCTGTTTGGAGTTCATTTAACGGCACTTCTCCTCCTGTGAGTGCGGCCCACTTAGCTTCCTGCAGACCTGTGACTTTAGTTCACATAGTTCAGGTACTTCAGGGTCTTTCTCAGAGTGATGGCAAGGTGAACATGAGGTGGGGCCAGGTTTCACAATGAGCTCACCCGAAACTCTGGCTGATAG